TGCTTACAGCTGAAAACATGTCCCAGAATACAAGATACAAACTAAAAAAAAAGGCAACCAGCCTAGCAGTATAGAAAGCTGCTGCTACAACGTGAATAAACAAATGTTAGATTGCAATCACAGATGGCACCGTATAATAATTATACTTAACTTTTACCATCAACTTTTCATGTTCAGATACTTTACAAATGAAATACATAACTAGGTTTCACAGCTAAGTGAGGTGGGAAACACTACTATCCTTGTTATGGACAATCCAAATTTCTTTTTATTCTTATTTATAAAAGTGCAAAGAAACCAAATTAGTTCCTTAGATTCTCACAGGAGCGAGAAATGGACACAATGGGCCTTTCTTACTTTTCTCTTATTCTCAAACAGGCACACATACATAAAGAATTTGTTCTCATTCAAACAACAGCAAGCTAACCAACTTTCAAGTTATGAAGCTGTAAATCTAATTGTTCATCTTTATTATTTTGACACTTGTATCTAGCTTTACTGGGGGAAAAAAAATCTTCTGCTCCAAGGCAAGTAACTCATGTATAATTTGAAAGGAAAAAAAATCTCAATTAAGTGTTTTGTGTAATAATAAAAAAGTTATCCAAACTAACTACTGTGAGACTGTAGAAGTTTCAATTAAGTTAAGAAAAATTTCCCCAGTGCAAAGACCAAGGCCCACAACAAGGAAAAACAATAGATCAAAGAACTGATCCATTCCCCAAACCTTTAACATTTTGTTTTTAAAAAAAAAAAAAAGGAAAGTTAAATACGTCACAGAAGAAATGCCAGAAGATACTTATCTGAGGACAGCCAGCTGTCTAGAGGCTGGAACAGTCCTCAGTGATGCAGATACACAACAAAATTAAGACCTGTTGCCCAATCTCCCACAGTTCATGGTATTTTAATTGGAAGATCACACCACAGAATCTCTTTTTTGTTTGTTTTGAGGAAACAAAACAAAAGCCTTCAAAAAACTTTCAATATCAACTAAGTGCAGACTATGAACAAGTACTGCAGAATGAGAAATTATTTTCCTACCCATCTCACTCAGTATGTTTCTCAACAGACAACCTTAATACACTATATGCTGTGGCAAGAATGGAAAAAAAGAACCAAACAACTCTGTGAATCCACAGATTAATGTAGATGTGTGCTGTCACCTGAAAAGCTTGACAGTGTCCATTTAGATCTAACTAGACATTTTATTTTTTGCAGTAATACCTGATTTATAGAAATGCTTCTCTATGTTCCTAGATTCATTAAAGCCTGACATTGCAATGAATATGGCATTCCCAGTTTCACATCTTCTGGCAAATTAGATCTTGAAGATGAACTAAGAATGCCTTACACTTGAACTTCACAATGGTAAACACTGAGGGCAATATCCTGCAGAGAGACACAAGGAAATATCCAAGACATCAGAAGTACAGAAACTGTGTTAGATCACATCCCGCTGTTACAGCATGCCAGGATATTTGTTATAAGGAGAAGTACCATGACTCAAAATCCATACGCAGGTTAAAGGTCTGCAGACAAACACACAGGAAGCCACGCAGCTCATCAAGTTCATCTGTGCAATGTCAATAGCTTCCTCACCACCACTCATCTCCTCAACATCATCACAGCATTTCCTCAGGCTTTTCTCTTCCCTGGGGCCCTTACTCCAGGGCTCCTAAGGTGCTGGCTTCACTGCAGAGATTGAATTTTGAGATCATAGTATAAAACAGCTGCTGTTCTAGATGCATCTGGAAACATCAGTTCCAGAAACAACTGTTAACCCTACTGTGCATCTGTCAGACTCCTGTTATCTGTATTTTTCAAAAAGCTGGAAGCTTTGTAAGAAAATGTACTTTTCAACCTTTATAGCATCCTGCATTATAATATTTCTGCGAATTTTAAGTTCAAGGAACAGTGTGATTCTACGCACACTCACTAAAACAATCCCTTCCTTATAAAAATGTTAAAATACACACAGAATACCCGTAACAAATCCCACGGAATACCCATAAATAATTTCTTGAAGGCTGTCTCATTCTGTTCCAAGTAAATTTCTCCAGCTCTTCCACAAAAGGGGAAAACGAGGAAAAGGGAACCTATCAAAAGAAGACTGATTCAACAGAGTTAGGAGTGTATCTATAATGAGTTATCGATATAGATTTATAACTGTATCTAACTATTGATCCGGGGTCTCAAGTACTGTGCTTTCTGTCACAAGATCTAAGCAGCAAACATGGGAGAAAGGCAGAATGCAAATACCTTTTAATATACTTGTGAATTCATTTTGCATCAGCATGTTTGGGGGATCTCAGTTGCAGTTGGTTTCAAAGCATTTTATTTGCTCACAAATTGTGGTAGGCCAAATTATTCTAGCATATCTGTAAAACCTGCATGATGCTTATTTGAGTTTCTGAAGTATGTCACTAGGCAGAACCCTAACTGACTTTCGGTGTTCCCTTATTTTACCAAGTTGCAGAAATTCACTTATATCTGGGACCTAACTGTTACCAGCCTGAACAGTTAATAAAAAAAAGCACTTCTGCAGACACAGCTGTAGGCCCTCCAGATGCAGTAAAAGCAGGTGTTAATTATACCTAAGATACAAAGTTTGCATACACTGAGTACAATCTCAGCAATGATTATCTTGTTTTATCCTGTTATCTCATGCATAGAGCGACCACACAAATGTGTGTGTGAACAACTCACACCCCTGAGAGTGAAGCCTGGCTTTGTCCTTCTTCAGGGCCTCACTATGAAAACCATCGTAATGACAGCTATCAGTAAAATTACTCATGAGAGTCCAAAACCCACCCCAGACAGAAAGACCCGACCTAGGGAGGACACACATTTGGGTTGTGCTGCTAAAAGAGGCTGAGCACCCGCTATCCCCATCACCTTTGATCACGTATCAGTACTTCACAGGCTAAGATTAATGAAGCCTTTTGGGAAGGTTTAACAGAAAAAGTAATTGGGAAATACTGTGTGAGGATCAGTTTTGTTGATATATAGAACTTTCTAATTTTTGTTAAAAATTAATGGTATGCAATACAAACAGTCTGCAGTGGTTACATACATTTTCATTTCTTAAGAACAACTATACACACACACAAAAAAAGAATGGGCTATGTACTGAATAGAAAGCCTTCAAGTGATTGCTTTTAAGACTAAAGGAAACTACACACAACTAACTCTTTGTGCATCTACCTGTCTCTTGTCACAGACTATCTAAGCACTTTGTGAAGAAGCAGCAGGAGCAAGAACTTCCATATAAAATACTTCAGTGGACCAAACTTTCCAAACAATTGTTTCTTTCTCCAAAGAAAACAAAACAATGGCAGAGAATGGTCGACACTGATCACATTGCACAGACTCTTACTGTTGTCTTTCTCCCATGCACAACCTTAAAACACTTAGTATCATGAATTATAATTTCTTAATTATTCTCACTATGACACAAAAAAAATCCCAAACCAAACTGAGAGTAAATACATATTTCTCATTACATGAAATTATGCGTAGGAATCTTCCTAAAGAATCACAGACCAGAAGAGCTCAAGTTAACTATAACCAGTTACTTAAATATGCGTATTTGTGAGTGCTAATTGGAGAAAAAAAAATGATTTTGTTTGCAGTTGCTTCTGCACTTTCTGAACTTGACCATTCCTCAGTTGTACACAAGAACTAAAAATTCACACTCTGGAACAAAATATTTTTGTGATTAGAAAAATGTAGTGTCTGCATATTTGGCATATATGTTCACCACATTCTCCTCAATAAATTAAAAACCACACGGACATAGTGAACACAACCTTTGGCTGAACTAGTTTTCAGAATATAAAATAACTAAATGCAAAGGAGGCTGCTGGAAGTTTTGAATGCTTATTTAACAATAGAGCTGTTGGGAATGAATCAACACTGTTGTTCATAACACCTTTTTTTTTTGAGGAGGGAAGCATCATCAAGATACACTTGTCTACTAAAATACCAGTGAACCCGGTTCCTGAGGTCGGCAAGAAGGTTGCTGATAACTTTAATGGATGAAGAATTGTACTTGGTATTAAGGAGACTGAATCTTAAATCAGGAAGATAAACGATCTGAAAAAGCACTCGCTTGCTCTGCAAGGTGAGAAGAGGCGGTAACTCAACTCTTCCTGCACAGCTGAGAAAGGGGTTTGGTCAGGCCTTGGAGTGGCGGGGAGGGGACGGGGGGAAGCGCAGTAGCCTCACAGCACGCGCTGTAAAAGACGAAACCGCGCCGTGCGCGCTTTGCTGTGCGAGATAGGCACGCGTGGACTCGCCTGGCTGAACGCCCAGCACTCGGCTTTCCCCCTACGCCGCACCTTCCCACGCACCCCACTCCACCCCGCTCGGAGGACATACGTATTCATAGGGCGGCCGGCGCGGAGAGCCCGCCCCGGATCCGCCCCGACCGGCTGGCCTCAGGAACGGGGGTGCCCAGTCGGGGGCGACAGGTTGAGCTGGAGGAAGGCGAAAGGGAGCCCGCGGGAGGCGGCAGCCGCTCCCGCCCCGGGGGCGGGGAGGGCCCCACAACGGACCCACCCCC